GTTCCTCGTTGGCTGATTTGCCATATCGCCCTTCTCCTCCCGGCGGCTTCCTGCTGCCGCCTCCTCTAGTCCGCACCGCTCCCCCGCCCGGCGCTTCCCCTTTCCCGTGAGCCCCTCCACGGCGGTGCGGGATGGGACGGAGCGCTACACCGACACCGAGCCACCTCACCTCGGAACCCGTCAGTATCCCCGGATCCCACCGCGGCGACGCCTTCGCACCCCCTTGGCGGGGTTGCCGCCGTGGTTTCGGTTTCGGTACAGCAGCGCGGCCCTTCCAGCTGCTCCCGCTCCGGGCTCCTGCCCTACCGCGCTCTGGCCTCGGAGGCCCCGACAGCTTCCCGGGGCGCCGCTGGCAGTGGGGCTTGCCCCCTAAGGCACCTAAAGTAATGCCTCGGTCCCGGGGAGGCGGAGCGAGGGAGGCGGCTTGGAAGCTTCTGAGAGGCGCGGGGACCGCCCAGTCAGTGACTGAGTCATCGCCCGAGCTCTACGAGCACTGCCATCGCTGCCGGCAGAGAATCTGTCACTGGGCACCACGATCGTGGCCACGCCGTGACTTTGTCACCTGTCGAGCTCTATGGGAACTACGATCGGTGCAACACCCTGGCCCTGGCACCTGTCGAGTGTCTGGGCACTGCAATCTCTGCCACAAAATGGCTCTGTCGTCTGTCGACCCCTTTGGGCACTGCGATCGGTGGCACACGGTGACTGTGGCACTAGCTCGAGCCTCTATGCATTCAGATCCGTGGCACACCCTGACTCTGCACTGCCCCAGCCCCCTGGACACACCTTGACTCTGTCACTGCCCCCGCAATCTGAGCACTGCAGTCGATACCACACGGTGGTCCTGTCGCTGCTTTCTGGGCGCTGAGATCGGTGCCACATCGTGGCTCTGTCGCTGCCTGTACTCCAAGGAGCTTCTCCCCCTCTAGCGCCCCTGACTTACCGTGTTCTGGCCTCTGGGAACCCTGCCGCTTCCCCGGGCGCCGCTGGCAGTGGGGCTCGCCCCCACCGCGCCACCACTTAAATAATCTCTCAGTCCGGAGCGGGAGGCGGAGCAAAAGAGGCAGCTCGGAAGGCTAGAAGCAGCACCCAGTGGCCGAGTGCTCTCGGAGCACTGCGATCGGTGCCACCAAAGAATCTGTCACTCCTGAGCTCTGTGAGCACTGCGATCGGTGCCACATTGTGCCTTGGTCACTGTCTGAACTCTCTGGGAACTACCATCGGAGCCACACGGTGAATGTGGCACTGCTCGAGCTCTCTATGCAATAGAATCGTTGCCAGATGAGGACTCTGTCGGTGCCCCAGCCCTCTGGGCACTGAAACTGGTGCCACACGGTGGTTCGATCACTGCCTCAGCTCTCTGGCCACTATGCTAATTCCCAGAGAAGTGACTTTGTCGCTTCCTGAGCTCTCTGGGCGCTCCAGTTGCTCCCAACTGTGGTCCTCTCGTTGCCACAGTGCCTCTCTTCGAGCACTACGATTGGTGTCACACCTTCACTCTGCTACTGCTCCATCTCTTTGGGGGCTGCAAACAGTGCCACACTGTAACTCTGTCACCTGTCGAGCTATCTGGGCAGTCTGATCTGTGCCACACGGTGACTCTGTCACTTAAGATCCCTGGACACTATGATCTGTGCCACATGGGGACTCTGTCACTGCTCCAGCCCTCTGGGCACTGCGATCAGTGCCGGTAGAGAATCTGTCACTCCTGAGCTCTGTGAGCACTGCAAACGGTGCCACACGATGGTTCCATCACTGCCTCAGCTCTCAGAGCACTACGACCTGTGTCACACCCTGACTTTGCCGCTGCTCCATCTCTTTGGGGGCTGCAATAGATGCCACACTGTAACTCTGTCACCTGTCTGAGCTCTCCAAGAACTACGATCAGTGCCACACTGCGGCTCTGTCACTGCTTGAGCTCTCTGGGTAATACTATCGGAGCCACACGGTGACTGTGGCACTGCTCGAGCTCTCTATGCAATAGGATTGGTGCCAGATGTTGACTCTGTCACTGCCTCAGCTCACTTACTATAATTCCCAAGAAGGGGTTTTGTCATTTCCTGAGCTCTCTGAGCACTCCAGTCGTTCCTACACTGTGGCCCCGTCACTGCCTCAGCTCTCTGGCCATTATGAGCCTTGAAAACCTGGTAATGTTATTAAGACTGAGAGCAGCTTGGGAGTTCAAGGCATGTTGGAAATGCCTTTGTCTGTGGAAGATTTGGAGCCGGATATCTGGGGATTTTTTTATTCAGGAAGGCCTGAAGTAGGCTTTTGTTTGTCAACAGAGTTACTATCACGTGTAACAGTCCTGGGACAGTTGCAGGAATACATAACCAAAAGAATTACCATAAGCCAAGTAGTTCAGCCTCCTCTGGATGTCAGGTGTGTAGTTGATACAGGTTCTTTACATAAGGGCCATTGCTTTGCCATTCATCTGTGAAAAGGATGGTGATGATGAGTGTCTAATGTCTTTACTGTGATCTTTCCCATTCTGGAGAACTGTTGCATTCCCTATGGTGCTTTCAAGCGGCAATGACAGAAGAGCAGTGGCATATCAATGAGGTAGGGCAGTAGCAGCCCACAATTATGTCTTTAATTTCTTCCTCTACCGGTCAGCAATGCAGTATGGGCGCTCCTAAACCACCCATCTACCCTCATCTGCTCTTCCAGGGATGGCACTGTCTGCTTTGTGCCTCGTGCTGGCCCACACGTGCCAGCCGGGAGCAGGGGCTCCTCCCTTCCCGCCTTCTGGAAGGTGTCCCATGGGAAAGACAGGCGGATCACAGAAGGATGTGGGCGGCTGTGGGTTTGCAGAGATAGGACAGCCTTGGTGATCACTTCCAAGATGAAGTTTTCTCTCTGAGCATCAAAACTGCCCTATGATGGACAAACTGAATAAACATCTCGTTTCTAAGATTTTGCAATAAAAAAAAGGAAAAAGAAGAAAAATAGAAGTTGACAGTGGAACGAGTGGAACTGATGCAGGACCAGCACATTCCTGTTTTCCACTCATTCTGGATCAGCTGGGATTGAGAGAACAGGAGTTGAATGCTCTGACAGCTCCTGATGCAAGGGCTGATCCCACTTACTGTAAAGAGGAGACTCGGGGCCAAATGCTGAATTGTGACACTGAGTTCACTGTAGTTTAAATGCAGCGATTTTGTGTCCATCCACACTGTGAGGTATCACAAGGAGAGCATTATTGAATCTGCATTCTAGAGAGACTGGGACAGTCACCAGGTAAATAAAGCAAATGCAAATACAGATGTGCTATCTCTGGTGGGCCAATTGTTCAGTTTTGGTCTTCTGCAAACCCAAACATTACAGCAATCTTTTGATAACACTTGACCTCTGAGGGGTTTTTTCCTTTCTTTGGTTGGTTGGTTCGTCTCGTTTGGTTCTTCTGCTGTTTAGTTTTGCATTGTGTATGGGGCCAAAGGTGTGGTCTAAAGGCAGGAAGAGAGATGGCTGAATTTATAAGAATTGCTTGGTTAAAAATGTGTCAGTCTCATTCTGTGGTGATTTGCCAATAAGCACGACACAAAGAAAGAAACTGTAATTTATTTGTATGTATGCTTAGAGGTCAGTCTTGCCAGTTATGACATTCATTTATTAAATGAATAGCAAAAATAAACTGATCCAGAAATGCAATCTGAATTTACAGAGAAATGTCTTAATTCTTATTGAGGAGAAGGAAAGATTATCTTGAAATTGACAAAAATATTGGTACATTTTTAGTGCTTTTCTCCATAATGAATTGATCTGAGCAGAAGTCTTCAATTTTAGCATTAATGAGAATTTAATAAGCCTGTTAGTTTTCTTTTAATTGTAACTGAACTTGCATTAATCTCAACCATTTACATACTTTGTACTAAAAATCTCAGCCATCTTAATAAAATTTAGTGCTACCATATGTGTGGGAGCTGGCATGTGTCTGCCACATAGTGTCAAGCACAGTATCCTCAAAATACAGGTCAGTCTGGCATTCTTCATCTAATAGTTAACCCCACTAAGCTCTGCAATTGATCTAAAGCAGTAATGTTGGTTTCACATTGGAACTTCTGCTTTTACCTCAATTTCCTTCTTTCCTGAATAGTCTGCTAATTGAACAAAGTGAGAAGGATGATTTCCCTTCTATGCAATTTTAAAATTTGTCCTCAGATTTGTCTCAGTAACTTTGTTGTTCTCCTTAAGTTTTTAAGGTGTGAATCTGCTTTCCCCACAACTTAGATGAGTAACACTTTCTTCCTTATTTCCTTTCACTTTCCTTTTCCTATAACAGAGCTGTTCAGCCGAAGCAAATTTCCTGCTTCTGCAACCTAAAGACTTTGGCTCACATGCCCCACAGCAGACATCTGCAACAGCTTGGGGCAGCTCTGCTTCCTGGGAAATGTCTCTGCTGGATGTGGCCCTTCGCTTCATATGGGAGCAAACAGGAACACTGACCCTTTCCCTGTGTGGCATTTCCCAGTCTGGTGTATCAGCTTACACTGAGCCTCCAGAACCTCAGCATGTTTATTATCCAATTAGTCCCCAGGGAAGTGTAAGGCTGGGGTGTGACAAGACTGCCACAAAGCAGGTATGGCAGATGCACAGAGGCCTAGGTGTCATTTGACAGTGACTCAGGGGACGAGCTATCATAGAGGCCACATTCTTTTAATATCAAAGTGCAAAGGCAGCATTTAGGTGAGCTGGTCAGAACAAGAAATTCAGTAGCTAAGTGAGACCCCCCCCCACCCCTCCTTGCCATATGCACAAACAGGTTAACAACTCTAAAGCACAAAAATAATCCTGCTACAGTTCCAGGTAAAAATCCTGGCTATTAAGAGCCAGACAATTCATTTGTCACATAGATCCTGACCCACAGACAGACAGCTGCAGTCTCCAAAGGAAGGCAATTCATGCACATATCACTACATTCATATTTAATTTTTCCCTTTTCTGGTATCTGTCCTAGCTTTAATATTGCTATATAGATAGGATCTGGAGAAGCTTAGATTGGATCTGGAGAAGCCTAGGGCTGCCCACAAGGCTTTCCAGCTGTTAAAGACACTTTGCAATGGTACATCCTTTTGCAACACTACTCATGGTTTTGTTGCTCCAAGGCACAAGTGTAGCGCTACCACAATCCATCTTGGGCTTTTAAAGGTTGAGTATGGACACCATATTCCCTGGCAAAGAAAAAAAAAAGTGGCAACTGGTACAAAAAGTGTTAAAATAAACTTGGCCACATACTGTTTCACAAGCAGCAATGGTACAATCTGCCATGAAATATCATATGTGTTATCAAGCACGGGAAGCAGGATGACACAATTTATGTGAACAAGGAGAACAACATAAAGAGTTTTGCACCCATCCTTGAAGGGAATCTCTTGGGAATCAGTGAAGATAAATGCCATGTTGTCAGTTAAACTGCTAGATGTAGTATTCAAAATTCTTAAAATATATTTGAATTAGGAGATTAGTGTTCAGGTATTTAGATAGAGCATCAAAAAGAATGGGGAAAAAGAAAATCTTCTCTCTGTAGTCTTGCCCCTGACCATTACTTGAAATACCACTCAGGAGAGCAGTCTATGGGCTCTTCCTTCCAAAGAGTCTTCAGGCGCTGGCTCCAGGCAGCCAGCATCTCCTTCCTCTTCTCCTCAGAGACATTCTCTGGAGCATAACAGATGTGAGGTTCAAGGACTTTGACACCACAGAAGTGCATGATTCCATGCTGGATGCAAAAAAAAAAAAAAAAAAAAAAAAGAAAAAAAGAAATGCCTCAGGAAATATTTCAATATTTCCTCTTACTTTCATTTGAAGAAAATGCAAGATTCAAGTCTGTTCTGTTTCTTTGACCCAATTATCAGTCAGGTTCTCTAAACCTGTGCATTTATCAGGAAAAGGAAACTAAATTGCAGAAGTTCACTACTTACCCAGGCAGTCACTACTGAAGGCATACAGCAGAATGGCATACAAGATACTGAAAGGTAAGGGCAACTTCATTTATTCTGCTCTGGAGAATTTATTTTTAACTGCTGTTAATGCCACAGAATTAGGGATTCTGTCCTCTTTGGCAGCTGTTGACTGTTCACTTTGCAAGGATCACAGGAGGCCAAAAGTTCATTGTTCAGTTTGAAACTCCTCAGATGGGTGCCTAACTGCAGTGTTCCACATCTACTTCTAAGATGGGATTGTTTTAGCCTTTTGCCTCTGGCTCAGCCAAAGGTTCCTGTGGGAAGGCTAGTGCCTGTGGAATCAGCTCAACTTGCCATTTTCCCTTGTTGTGTTTCTGAATTTAGAGTGGTGTTTCACGTTTTTGCCATGTCGACCTGCGAGCTCTGCAGTTGGACCGCTCCACAGGAGCAGGCAGTTGTTAACTGCACAGGGAGGAGACCATGGAATTTTAGATCATCTCCTGTATTGTATCAAGAAGAAGCTGGATAAACATGCCTTACTACCTGTATTTCCAAACCATGCTGGGTACTTCTGTAAAAAGAGTAGCAATTGAAAGAGGAATGCTAACTTTCGTGTGTTGACTGATACTGCCAGGGTAATGTGTGGCTCCCCTCCTACCCTGCATCCTACATGAATTGGGAAACCACGGGAAACAGAAATCCTGCAAGGCTGAGCTCAAGGAAACCCTGTAACAGCAGGGAAACTGAAAAGGCTGGCAGTGTTAAGCTTTCTCTACATTTTAATCTGGAGGAAGGGGGTACAAAACAATTTTAAAACTCAGTAGACTTGTAAAGTAGTCCCAGGATTTTAGGTAACAGTCTACAATCTGCAGATCATTGGAACCGACAACTTGATTAAAAATTATTATATTTCATTTAAAAACCCCAATAAAACAATTGTTAAAAATAGATGGAAAAATACAAAATTATGAAGACAACAACCAAATGTTCATACATTATACCTGCATGGGCCACAGGACATAGCGAACATCACCACCGATACCTTCTTTTGAATACATCTCTTGGCCTCCTCCCGTGGTGAACGAAAAGAGGGATAATTTGCCCTAGAATTAGGAAAGTAGTGGTTAATTAAGACATATTTAAAGAAAAGTGCCTGAACGGTGCAAGAGGTATTCAGGTAAACCTGGACAGCATGGATTTCTAGGGGAGAGGGTGACTTCTTCTTTCCCAGACCTTACATGAAGTGGCAGTTCTGAGGCTAAGATTGATGCCATACAATTAGACAGTGGACTGTGTGTCTTTGGGAAGAGATAGGTTAAGGAAAAGGAATTATGTGTCTGACACCCTTGTGTGAAGCAGGGCTGATACATTACTTCAACATAGTGGAAAGTGAGAGCTCCGAACAACTACAATGGAAAAGAATGAACAAGCCCCCATAGAACATGGTGCAAGCCCTGGCCTTAATAAAACAATTCCAAAAACATACCTGGAGCAAGCCACCATCATAAACCTTTGACAAATCGTAAGCAAAGCCTTGGACCAAGACTCTGTCCATCCAGCCCTTCAGGATTGCAGGCATGTTGAACCAAAACAAGGGAAACTAGGCAAAGAGAAAATTACCTGTTAGCACAGAGAGTCTGGGCCACCCTTAGGCCTGGTTTACAGGACTGATCCTGTCCTCTGAACCTGCTCAGATCCTGCGTGTACCTTCTCCAGCTCTCTGTCAGTAGAGGCTGTAACTGTGCCTGGCAAAAGAAGCTGAAGTGCTTTCTGTTTGTGGTAACCTCAGGGCCAGACCTGAGCATCTACAGCACACCAACACTGTGGTGCATGTGAGGGCTTCCATCCAGAATAAAGTTGGAATAGGATGAAGTAGGAGGGTGCCTTTGAATTCAGAGTGTACAGAATCATGTCTCCTATGGCTGAAATGCAAAAGAATCAAAAATCTTAATAGCTGGACTGACATCTGGTGATCAGCTCTGATCTGACAGTCTGGTGACAAAGGCCAGGGGATCATAGGAAAGACTTCTTTTCAAACCCTGCTGACATCATAACCCCAAATCCAATACTGAGAAGAAAAAGACTTCTTTAAGATATGGACCTTTGATTTCTAGATTTTCCAGTTAGCCCATGGGATTGCATCCAAAGCTGTCATATCCATGCATGAATGGGCTCTTTCTTATACTTGGCTGCATCACTACCTCTAAACCTTTGTACACACTGCACACAGAGGAAGAAATTCTATAAACATGTAACGACATGTGGCTTAGTGGTGAAATGGTGAAAACAAAATGGAAACTAGGCAAACACCACAGTAACTACAAGTGGTGAGTTTAGTCTGTAGCAAATTTTGAATTCCTTCATGATGTCCTCAAGAGGCTTTTTAAATTTCTTTTTTATTTTCTCCACCAGAACACACTCAACTCTTCACAGCATTTTACACATGGAAAGTAGAAAGCAACCACTTCCTTCGGGGGATGTCTTATGGTTTTTATCTGGGAAGTGATAGTCAGAAAATGACAATGACTTACAGTGAAATACTTAATTGAGATTTGGCCCCATCCTAAATTCAATCAAACCTTGTAGAGAAGAACATATAAAGAGATGTCTAAGGCCAACAGGGACACAAAGAAATGTAAGGCTACTACTTCCCTTCACAGTTCTTTGGGATTTCTAGACACTGGGAACAGAGCTGGCATAGTGGAGAATGGACATGGGCTGTAAAGCTCTGTTATCAATTGCCAGTAGTGCTTCTGCAAACCAGCAACAAATGAGAACAGTCTACTTGGGAAAACCCAATTCCCTGACTTCACTGGCTACTCCCAGCTCCTTGACCAGGAAATAATCCTTCCCCTGCTTTCTGCCAGCCTGCTGACATCCATGGTCACATATGTCTTTGTGCATCCATCGGGAAGTTTGGCCCAGTGTTGGGGAGCTCCTGTCCTTGCTGTTGTTTCAACCTGCATCATTGTGCTACTCAATTACTGGATTTGCTGTGATAATGACCCAGCTAATTGTACTACTGATCTGTAGTTTTTACTGTGCCATTACCTAAAGTCAGCATCACAACTGAATTCTGTTTAAAATAATGACCTGGAAAATCAGCAGGTCTGCTTCCTGCACTTTCTTCTGCTCTTCAACCAGGTCTTTGGACAAAGCTCCTCTCTTGTAAGCTTCCCAGGTTTCCACACCATAATTGAAGGCTTCTGAGTTGTGCAGGTGACCTGCAGGTAGAAATGAACAGTCATTCCTTGCCCCTGTGCAGTATCAGTGCCAGATAAGAGGTGAGTGCAGGTTGCCATTCACAGTTCTGAACTGGGTTACTGCTTTCCATTTTTCCTACGTTCTTGTCTTTGCTGGATATTCAGCACCATCCCAGGTGATGGTCACTTGATTTTAAAAAGGAGAGGAGTGTAGGGTCTCAGAGTTCTGAAACTTCACCTTCCTGCAGCAACACAGGAGGTGCAATATGAGGACCTAAGCTCGCCTCAGGCCTCTGGGCATGCAGGTGGAAGATTTAAGAGATTGTTGTGAATTGTTCTGCCTCTGCCTTAGGGCTTCCTGAGGCCATCCTGCACTTGTAAGCACTATGGAGCTGTTTTCCAGCCTCTAAAACTGGGAAATTCATCAAGGGATGGGCAACCAGTACTGGCCAGCTTTACTGACTCCATGAGCAGATCATCAGTCTCCAGCAGAAGACAGGGGCAGTTGTAGCCTCGTGAACTCAACTCTAGCAAGCCCCAGTGAGGTATCTGAAGGCATTTCCTCTCCATGAGAAATGGACTTTAGAGGCTGATTATGGACACGTGCAAATGTGTTTCTTCCTCTCACTAGTCTCACTGTTATACAAAGGTCATGTTCAGGAGTGGCCTTGTAAAAATGCAGATGTCCGGTCATGAATAAGTTTCTGATTAATGAAAAAGGTTTCTCATTAATCTCTTGATGATCTGAGGGCTGGAGCACCTCTCCTATCAAGACAGACTGAGAGTTGGGGTTCTTCAGCATGGAGAAGATTTCAGGAGACTTTTTTCAGCCTTCTGATACCTGACAGGGGCCTTACAAGTCACTGTTTTTTGAGAGAGGCATATTTTGGCTGGGCTTACCAACAATGTCGTTCCTTGTTGCTCTGGGCTCAAACTGCATGGCGTACAAATCCGACACGGTGACGCTGCAGCCCTGCTTGGTCAGCTCTTCCACAGCAATCTTCAGCAAAGATCCATTGAAGGACTTGGGCTCTTGGTGTGCATAGACTATCAGGACTTTTTTCCCTGGAGGCAGAAAGAAAACCAGGAGACCATTTGGAATGTAGCAGGCAGGTGCAGAACAGTTGGTAGAGTTGGGGTTCGTTCCTGGCTCTTTCTGTAGTGTCTTTTCCCAAGGACACAGAAGCAGTGAAAGCAGAGTGGCAGTGGCAGCATTTGACTGCTGCTCAGCAGCACTGAGTGACTCCTGAGGCACTGATTGCTGCCTGTGCCCAGCCCAGCAGTTCTGTGCTACACTGGGCTTTCCTAGGCGGAACTCAGTGGACAGAGGGGCTGTTCCATAGCAGGTCACACTGCCCTGCATCAGCAAAACCCAGTCCCTTCTCTTGAGACAACATTTCTGTTGGTCTGATTCCACTACCACCCAAAAAATAGTGCTAGGTAGATTGCCCAAAAGGGTCAAGGAAACAACTTCTTAGAGGTCAGAACACCTTCCTATCGCAGTGATGGATCCCCTCCTGCTCTTTCATTTCTGTGCTGTGCAAGTTACAACACTGGGGTAGACATTAAAGATGCTCCTGTCCCACTTCAGCACAATCACAGTAACTTCTGTAGAGAGCAACAGGTTTTTATATTCTCAGAGAATAGATTGCCATGTGTATCTCAAACTGTTGTCAAAGTGGATTCAAGGTAAGCTAAGCGGCCAAGCAGGTGTGCAGGGATGGAATATCTTGGAGGCATGTAACAAGGCTCTGCTCAAAGAGCTCCATGGTGTGCTCAAAGTTTTATTGAACATAGGCCCTACAATTTTAATAATTCTCTTAAAATCACTCATCAGTGAAACAAAAGAAAGATTCTGTATGGGGTTGTTGTTGTTTATAGATAACCAGAGAGGGAAATTTACAGGGACTATTGAAAATGACAGGCTGTGCAAAACATGCAGTTCCTGCTTCCTGACTGCCAAGACAAAAACTCAGACATCTCCTGAACTCAGTTTCTCTGCAGCACAGCTTCTGGATGTGGGTACACAGTGTCCATGAAACAAGAGCTATGCAAAAAAGACTATTAAAACTTGCAGGTCAAATGCTATCAGAAATTCAACGTGTCTATAAACCCTTGAAATCCCTGCTCCATACTGTATTCTGGAAATTTCAGTAGCAGTTACAACTTTGCTGTTCCTGCCAGATCTCAACAAATGGAGCTCACTGACTGGACATTATCACATACTCCAAAAGGTGCTAAGGTTGATTCTGCAAAAATGCTGATTTGTTTCCATTTCGGTGGAGCTGGAGGCACTTGGGCACAGGGTCTGGAGAGACCGGAGTTTTCCAAGGCATCACTTACTGAGGTAATTCCAGTCGTTTGGAAAAGTAAGACCTTAGTGTCCCAAAGGCCCAGAGGCCTCATCCCTGAGGTGCCCAGCGGCCACCCTGGAGCCAGCAGGGTTTTCACTCGCGTTTGCTCTTACCTGCCATTGCTGGGGAGCGCTGGGGAGCTTCACTCTTGATAATCGGGTACTGCCTGAGAACTGAAGTGAGAGATTTGCTGGTGAGAAACATCAGCACCAGGAGCGGGGAGAATCGCTGTTTCAGCGGGAACTCAGGGCACTCAGCACAGCCGGGCACTGGCCGAGCGCGGCCCGCCGGAGCGGGAGAGAAGCCCTCGGCTCCCGGCCCGGGCCCTGGAGCAGGAATTCTCCTCCGGCCGCCGGATCGGCGCTTGGCGGCGGAGGCACGGCCGCCTCGGCCCGGGGCTGCGCCGGGTGCTTGGCACCGCTCCCGGTCCCGTGCCGCCCTCTGGAAAGCGGCTTCGGAGCAGCCCCCGGAGTTCCGAAGCCCAGCGCAAACCGGGCTGCCCTTACCTGCTGCCGGGGCCCGGAGCACATCTGTGAGGGCTGAGAGCGGCCCTTCCCGGCGGCCCCGCTGCCCGCCCTTCCCGGGGCAGCGCCAGCGCGGGGCGGGATCGGGACCGGCGCCGCCCGCGTCTCCCGCTCCGCTCGAGGCCGCGCTCGGCCGGGAGCGCGCCCCCGCCGCTGTGACAGCGTGGGACACCTGCATCATCTCTGGATATTATTTTTATTCTGGGTTTCTGCTCTTCTCCAAGTACAGAGCTCGTCCTTCATTTCTGCCAGCAATGCAGTATGGGCGCTCCTAAACCACCCATCTACCCTCATCTGCTCTTCCAGGGATGGCACTGTCTGCTTTGTGCCTCGTGCTGGCCCACACGTGCCAGCCGGGAGCAGGGTCTCCTCCCTTCCCGCCTTCTGGAAGGTGTCCCATGGGAAAGACAGGCGGATCACAGAAGGATGCGGGCGGCTGTGGGTTTGCAGAGATAGGACAGCCTTGGTGATCACTTCCAAGATGAAGTTTTCTCTCTGAGTATCAAAACTGCCCTATGATGGACAAACTGAATAAACAGCTTTATCCCAAGACCTTGGGGAAAAAAAACCAAAACAACTGAGTGCAGTCGTTTCCCCTGGACAAAGTTGACAGTGGAACGAGTGGAACTGATGCAGGACCAGTACATTCCTGTTTTCCACTCATTCTGGATCAGCTGGGATTGAGAGAACAGGAGTTGAATGCTCTGACAGCTCCTGATGCAAGGGCTGATCCCGCTTACTGTAAAGAGGAGACTCAGAACCAAATACTGAATTGCGACGCTGAGCTCACTGTAGTTTAAATGCAGCGATTTTGTGTCCATCCACACTGTGAGGTGTCACAAGGAGAGCATTATTGAATCTGCATTCTAGAGAGACTGGGACAGTCACCAGGTAAATAAAGGAAATGCAAATACAGGTATGGAATCTCTGGTGGGCCAATTGTTTGGTTTCAATCTTCTCCTGCAATCCAAAACATTATAGGAAACTTTTGATAGCATTTGACTGCTGAGATTTGTTTAGGTTTGGTTTTTCTAATTTATAGCTTTGCATTATTTATGGGGCTGAAGGCTGGAAGAGAGATGGCTGAATTTATAAGAATTGCTTGGTTCAAAAGGTATACGTCTCATTCAGTGTGGTTTTGCCAGCATGTACTAGGCAAAGTGAGGGAGATATTGCCATCTATTTGCATGTGCTTCAAGGTCACATCTTGGACATATAGCTGATTTTTTTTGCCAGCAGGATGAAAACTGCTGTGTGTGAAATTTGCAGGTTTCGTTGCACTATTGGAAAAATTGTATGGTCTGATGAATAAAAAGCAACAAATCTCCACGGTGCTATACCAAGGCTACCTGGAGTGCTTACCTCATTCCTTAATCTTAACTAAAAAGTAAGCTTGTGCCAGAATGGGAATGTGTCATTGTATCTGTTTTCCTGGTATTAACTTTATGGGCTGTACAGTAGTAGTAAACTTTGCCAACAAAGGTTTAATTATTAAGTCTCCTTCCTCTCCTCTTGTAATTTGCTATCAGGTATCTCTTTAGAGACTTTTCCCTCTCCGTTTCTCTGATGCATTTCAAGTTCTGTAGGGACCTGAGCATAATCATTCTCTGGCTGTCCCTGGCTTAACACTCTGCTGGGCCCAGCAAGGATAAGCATTCTCTGACACAGGAGGTTTCCAGCTCTGGAAATGACTCAATGCTGGAATATTAATTCCGGGCTCTATACCCTGTCCAGAACTCTGAGGAGGGGGATGATTTGTGGGCAAAACTCCAAGAAAATACTTGTCTATAATCTTTCTGTAAAGTGCCTTTTAATATAACAGCAAAGCATTATCTGGTCTGGTTGATCCCCCTGCTGTCCAAAAGCCATGAATATTATGCTGTAGAGCTGATTTTAGAGAAAGAAGCTGCGATCTTAGTTAATTTTGCATCATCTGTGCACCAAAACTCATATTTCTCTAAACCCTCAGAGGGCTTAGGTGGGTGAAACTGCAGTACCTAACAGAGCAGATGCTTGTGGAGAAGGGCTGCATCCCCCTGGCGAGTATGAATGCAGAATGGGAGGCTCCCAGGGCCTTTGGAACCACTGTGGTTGGTGACTGGCTGCAGCCACAACTTTTCACTGCAGTTAAGTTCAAAAGAGCACTCCCTGACATTTCCCATGGATGCTGAGCTGTGGCCTAGCAAGAGATGGCAGAAATATAAGGGTGTATGCATAGAGTACATTGAGAGGATTTAATTTCCTCTTGGATTCTTGTGGAGGGATAGAATATAGGAAAATAGTGCATAAGGTAGTCTCACACCGAAGGAGTTGCAGCTGCACTAATTACCAAGGATTAGGAACAGGCCTGCCCTTAGTAGGCCACAGCTGTGTCCAATAAGAAGATGAGTGCGTCAAAAGAGAGTTGGAGTTTGTTGGTTGTGCTGTGAGGAGAGTTGGAGTTTGTTTGCTGTGCTGTGAAGAAGAAGGAGTCAGTGCTGCAAGGAGCTGCCCATGAGAGATCTCCAAGAAGGTATGGGTCTTTGCAATAAGATAACAACAGATTCCTATTGAATTCCATTGAAGAACCACCTTTGATCTGTATGTTTCGCTGGTGTGTGATTGTATTTGCAGTTTTGGCAATCTGTTATGTGGACAAGATGGTTGGGTCTTGGTTTATTTTCTCTGTTGGATGCCAATAGAATGCTTCCTCATTTCATCAAGGGCAATGCAGAGAAAGCTATGGGGTATTTTGGCTCCACAGTCCTAGGGAAGAAGCTGGTCTTTTGTCTCCTTCCTGAGTTTTTCAAACATATCAGACTTCCTGTGTATTCAAGCTGCATGAAACTGAGCATTGTAATACTCCTAGAATGATGAGACAGTTATCCAGCACTGACTTGAGTGTAGCGTCAGCTTAAATTCTTTGCACCTTTTCTGTAGAATATAGCCTCTTTGGGCTTTAAGATATCCAATAACACAGTAGGATTTTTCTTTAAAAAAATAAAAAGAAAGAAAATAATACTTGCATTGTGCATGGTATTAGTTATTGGCTGTTTCTCTCTTCAGCACAAATTTTTGATGAATAGTTTATTACAAACTATATTCCTCTGCAAGCAGGCAGTTCACCTTAGTGGTGCTGCTTCAGGAACACAATATTAAATGACAGAATGAACTACACCTGGCTTTAAATGTCAGTTTTTTTGAAACCTGAATTGAAGGCACCTTGCACTGCAAGACATCAGTCTTGGTTTCTGTAGGCTATGAGGCTTCTTGGTAACATAGTTCCAATGGGTATTTGTTTGTTTTCCTCTGTTGTTCTGCAATTGCAAGCATGTTTGACCTGCCACTTCAGAACACCAAATAAAAGAAATACTATCGTGATTTCCAGAAAAAAGCGTCACAGGAAAAGATCAGACCACTGCCTGGATATCTGTGGAAGAGCAGGACCCCCAGCAACAAAAAACGAATCCCTGGACTAAATGTGGAAAAGCATATTCCTTTACAGCCCTTTCCCCAGCCTGAAGTGCAGCTACAAGTTACTCACCCAATTCTAGTTCCATTCTCATGCAATCAATGCTGGTTTGGCAGGGTGGCATTTGACTTTTAGCATAATGTGAGTTAGAAGGACAATTATTCTTTAGTTCAAAATGGCTGTAACATTTCCACTGCCTCTTCTTTTCTCTCTCCTTACTAACCACAGATGAGTGTCTGTTGGTTTTCTGTGCAGCAAAACTCTGCTGAGTTTTGGAAAGGCGTGTGTCAGAACACATGTGCAGCCCAGCACAATGCCCTGCAGAGCACACACTGCAGGAACATCAGGACAAGGGCAAGAACCCTTGGCTCACCACCCACTGTCACTGCACAATTGATGGCTTCCAAAGCGTTGCAACAGCAGCACCCTTGTGGAACCTGAAAACTTTGGCTCACATGCCCAACATGCAGACATCTGTAACAGTGTGGGGCAGCTCTGCTTCCTGGGAAGTGTCTCTGCTGGAGATGTTTGTGGCCCTTCACTTCATATGAGAACAAGCTGGAACACATGATTGGTGTGAAAAGGCAGGGAAAAAAAAGTATTCCATTTTGTCTCTACAAAGGGTAATCAAAATAGAGAAGTCCCTTTGATTTTAGGAAGCTGCATACTTTACAAATGGAAGTTGTAGTCTACCAAGGAAGACAATTCATGCACGTACCAATATATGAAATCTGCTTTTTTCCCCCTTTTCTGGTATCTGTTATGGCTTTAACATTGATTTGTAAATATGTCTAAAAGCCTAGGCCTGCACACAAGACTTTCCAGCTGTTTAAGACACTTTACAACACTACATCCTTTTGCAACACTATTCATGGTCTGGTTTTGTTGCTCCAAGGTGCAAGAGTGGAACTCTCACAACCAATGGCAATTGGCTTTCAAATGACAAGTTGGGTATGGGCCAGATATTCCCTGGCAAAGGGAAAAAAAGTGTTAAACTTTGCCGTGTACTGTACTGTTTCACAAGCAGCAATGATATAATATGCCATGAAATATCATGTGTTATCAACCACAAGGAGGCAGAATGACACCATTTATGTGAGCAAGGAGAACAACACAAAGAGGTTTGAACTCATCCTTGAAGGGAATCACTGAAGATAAATATCATGTTGTCAGTTAAACTGCTAGATGTAGTATTCAAAATTCTTAAAATATATTGGAATTAGGAGATTTGTGTTCAGGTATTTAGAGCATCAAAAAGAATGGAGAAAAAGAAAATCTTCTCTCTGTAGTCTTGCCCCTGATCATTACTTGAAATACCACTCAGGAGAGCAGTCTATGGGCTCTTCCTTCCAAAGAGTCTTCAGGCGCTGGCTCCAGGCAGCCAGCATCTCCTTCCTCTTCTCCTCAGAGACATTCTCTGGAGCATAACAGATGTGAGGTTCAAGGACTTTGACACCACAGAAGTGCATGATTCCATGCTGGATAAAAAACCAAACAAACAAAAAGAAATGCCTCAGGAAATGTTTCTTCTTACTTTCATTTGAAGATCATGGAAGATTCAAGTCTGTTCTGTTCCTTTGACCCAATATCAGTCAGGTTCTCTAAACCTATGCGTTTATCAGGAGAAGGGAGGTAAATTGCTGTTAAGCACATAGGTCTGTCCTCTGTCGATGCTGTATGCTGTTCAATTTGCAAGGATAAGGGACAGTCTAAAGTTCATTGTTTGGTTTGAACCTCCTCAGATTGTTCCTGAACTGCTGTGTGTTTCACATCTACTTCTATGTTGGTTTCTTGGATTTTTTTTTTGTTGTTGTTTGGTTTGTTTTGATTTTAAACTTTTATCTCTGGCTTAGCCATATGATCCCACATGAAGGCCAGTGCCTGTGGAAGTTCAGCTTGCCATTTTCTCTCTGTGTGTTTCTGAATTCAGAGTTGTTTCATGTTTTTGCCACATTTACTTGTGAGCTGTGCAGCTGAACAGCTCCTCAGGGGTGAGGAGCTGGTAACTGCAGTGGGGAGGAGATCATGGCATCCTTCACAAATTGGGTAACCATGGGGAAGAGAAATCCTGCATGCTAGGGCTAAAGGAAATCCTGTAACAGCAGAGACACTGGAAAAGCTGACAGCAAAAGCTTTACGCAGATTGCAAACTGGAGGAAGGGGGACAAAACAACTTTAAAACTCTGGACTTTTGAAGTAATCTCAAGATTTTAGATCCCAGTTTATAACCTGCAGATGCTTGGAACAGGCAACTTAATTATTTCTTATTATGTTTTGTATAAAATAATCACTAAAACAATTGTTTATAAATAGCTGGAATAGTAAAATTAAAGCCAACAGTAACCAATAATTCATATATTGTACCTGCATGGGCCATAGGAGATAGCGAATATCACCCCTGATTGCATACTTCTCTTTGCTTCCTCCCGTAGTGAAAGAAAACAAGGATAATTTGTCCTAGAATTAGGAAAGTGGTGCTTGAGTTAGACATGTTTAAAGAAGAGTGGCTATATCGTTACCAAGATATTTGGGGGAACCTGGACAGCATGAATTTCTAGAGGAGGGGTGTCCATTTCCTTCCCAGATGTGCCAAGGACTGGCAGTTCTGTCATACAATTACATCAATGGACTGAGTGTCAGGGCTTTGGTCAGAGATGGGTTAAAAAGAAAGCCAATTATGTGTCTGACACCCTTGTGTGGAGGAGGGCTCATCCTTTTTCTTCCTTATGCAACATTTGGAAAACTATACCTGGAAAGCCCTCTGTTACTGTGAAAATCTCTATTCCTGGTCTTTCTCACTGCAGAAATTCTTTTGCTAAAGTCTCCCTTCAAACTTGGGCTTGTTTAACCACCCTGTTTCTTCTGCTCCTGTGAGAAGAAGGTATTACCCATGTGCTCAGCTTCTCTCATCTCAGCTTTAGCTTCTGTAATCAAGCTAACGTTTTTCCAGTGCAGTATCCCAAATGTCCTGAGCCTGTCCTCCATCTGAAGCTGTGATCTTGGGGATTATGCCTATTTCTGTCCGTGAGGCAGCCATTTTTGAAGTTTAAAGAAACTGAAATGTTTGAAAATGTTAAGAACATCAGAACTAAAGAGATTAACATGCAGTGAAATATGTGTGAAACTAATATTGATTGCTTTTTGATGCTGCATTTGTTACCAAATAAGATCTGTCAGAGATAGTGGGCCAGAATTTTCCAGAGATATTCCCAGTGCTTTGGGGAATCAAAAATGCATGATTTGACACCTAGAGATACTGCTCTTGCCAAATTAGTAGCTACAGAGAGGAAAAGGGTCAAAGTAGCTAGTTGTGACAGAGGCTCATACTCTGAGTATTTCAGATCTTTGATTAAGTTTTATAGTTCAACTCCAACCTTTGACATCTAAAACCAGAACAGGACTTTGACACCTAGTGTATCAGTCATTACAGATAAGAAGAGTCCTATAGTGGTGGGAAGAGAGTAATTGTTGGAAATGAACTATTTTAAAATTTTTGCAAGCTGTATGCTACCACAGTACACTCTGATACTCCTAAGAAATGATAAACCCCACACAGCAGGCCAATAAAGATCTCTAGGAGATCGCATAAATATTTAGGAAATGCTGCAGTCTCCTTATTTTCTTACCTTCCAGAGAGTGTGAAGAACCCAGAAAATAACATGTTACCAAACCAGTATGTCAGAGCAGTGAAAAGTCAGAGCTCTAAGCAACTACAATGGAAAAGAATGAACAAGCCCCCATAGAACATGGTGCAAGCCCTGACCTTAATAAAACAATTCCAAAAACATACCTGGAGCAAGCCACCATCATAAACCTTTGACAAATCGTAAGCAAAGCCTTGGACCAAGACTCTGTCCATCCAGCCCTTCAGGATTGCAGGCATGTTGAACCAAAACAAGGGAAACTAGGCAAAGAGAAAATTACCTGGTTAGCACAGAGAGTCTGGGCCACCCTTAGGCCTGGTTTACAGGACTGATCCTGTCCTCTGAACCTGCTCAGATCCTGCGTGTACCTTCTCCAGCTCTCTGTCAGTAGAGGCTGTAACTGTGCCTGGCAAAAGAAGCTGAAGTGCTTTCTGTTTGTGGTAACCTCAGGGCCAGACCTGAGCATCTACAGCACACCAACACTGTGGTGCATGTGAGGGCTTCCATCCAGAATAAAGTTGGAATAGGATGAAGTAGGAGGGTGCCTTTGAATTCAGATTTAAGAGTGTACAGAATCATGTCTCCTATGGCTGAAATGCAAAAGAATCAAAAATCCTATTAGCTGGACTGACATCTGGTGATCAGCTCTGATCTGACAGTCTGGTGACAAAGGCCAGGGGATCATAGGAGGGACTTGTTTTCAAACCCTGCTGACATTATGCCACCAAGCCATATCTAAGGCCAACAGGGACACAAAGAAATGTAAGGCTACTACTTCCCTTCACAGTTCTTTGGGATTTCTAGACACTGGGAACAGAGCTGGCATAGTGGAGAATGGACATGGGCTGTAAAGCTCTGTTATCAATTGCCAGTAGTGCTTCTGCAAACCAGCAACAAATGAGAACAGTCTACTTGGGAAAACCCAATTCCCTGACTTCACTGGCTACTCCCAGCTCCTTGACCAGGAAATAATCCTTCCCCTGCTTTCTGCCAGCCTGCTGACATCCATGGTCACATATGTCTTTGTGCATCCATCGGGAAGTTTGGCCCAGTGTTGGGGAGCTCCTGTCCTTGCTGTTGTTTCAACCTGCATCATTGTGCTACTCAATTACTGGATTTGCTGTGATAATGACCCAGCTAATTGTACTACTGATCTGTAGTTTTTACTGTGCCATTACCTAAAGTCAGCATCACAACTGAATTCTGTTTAAAATAATGACCTGGAAAATCAGCAGGTCTGCTTCCTGCACTTTCTTCTGCTCTTCAACCAGGTCTTTGGACAAAGCTCCTCTCTTGTAAGCTTCCCAGGTTTCCACACCATAATTGAAGGCTTCTGAGTTGTGCAGGTGACCTGCAGGTAGAAATGAACAGTCATTCCTTGCCCCTGTGCAGTATCAGTGCCAGATAAGAGGTGAGTGCAGGTTGCCATTCACAGTTCTGAACTGGGTTACTGCTTTCCATTTTTCCTACATTCTTGTCTTTGCTGGATATTCAGCACCATCCCAGGTGATGGTCACTTGATTTTAAAAAGGAGAGGAGTGTAGGGTCTCAGAGTTCTGAAACTTCACCTTCCTGCAGCAACACAGGAGGTGCAATATGAGGACCTAAGCTCGCCTCAGGCCTCTGGGCATGCAGGTGGAAGATTTAAGAGATTGTTGTGAATTGTTCTGCCTCTGCCTTAGGGCTTCCTGAGGCCATCCTGCACTTGTAAGCACTATGGAGCTGTTTTCCAGCCTCTAAAACTGGGAAATTCATCAAGGGATGGGCAACCAGTACTGGCCAGCTTTACTGACTCCATGAGCAGATCATCAGTCTCCAGCAGAACACAGGGGCAGTTGTAGCCTCGTGAACTCAACTCTAGCAAGCCCCAGCGAGGTATCTGAAGGCATTTCCTCTCCATGAGAAATGGACTTTAGAGGCTGACTATGGACACGTGCTAATGTGTTTCTTCCTCTCACTAGTCTCACTGTGATACAAAGGTCATGTTCAGGAGTGGCCTTGTAAAAATGCAGATGTCCGGTCATGAATAAGTTTCTTATTAATGAAAAAGGTTTCTCATTAATCTCTTGATGATCTGAGGGCTGGAGCACCTCTCCTATCAAGACAGACTGAGAGTTGGGGTTCTTCAGCATGGAGAAGATTTCAGGAGACTTTTTTCAGCCTTCTGATACCTGACAGGGGCCTTACAAGTCTCTGTTTTCTGAGAGAGGCATATTTTGGCTGGGCTTACCAACAATGTCGTTCCTTGTTGCTCTGGGCTCAAACTGCATGGCGTACAAATCCGACACGGTGACACTGCAGCCCTGCTTGGTCAGCTCTTCCACAGCAATCTTCAGCAAAGATCCATTGAAGGACTTGGGCTCTTGGTGTGCATAGACTATCAGGACTTTTTTCCCTGGAGGCAGAAAGAAAACCAGGAGACCATTTGGAATGTAGCAGGCAGGTGCAGAACAGTTGGTAGAGTTGGGGTTCGTTCCTGGCTCTTTCTGTAGTGTCTTTTCCCAAGGACACAGAAGCAGTGAAAGCAGAGTGGCAGTGGCAGCATTTGACTGCTGCTCAGCAGCACTGAGTGACTCCTGAGGCACTGATTGCTGCCTGTGCCCAGCCCAGCAGTTCTGTGCTACACTGGGCTTTCCTAGGTGGAACTCAGTGGACAGAGGGGCTGTTCCATAGCAGGTCACACTGCCCTACATCCGCAAAACACTGTCCCTCCTATTGAGTCAACAAGAAAATACTTTCTATGCTGTAGCAGTTGTTTATAGTTAACCATAGGGCAAAATTTATAGGAATTATTGAACACAACAGGGTCTGCAAAACATGCGGCTCCTGTTTCCTGACTGCCAAGGCAAAAATTCAGGCATCTCCTGATGTCAGTTTCTGTGGTTTACAGGTTCAGCCTGGAGCTACACCTGCCAAGTGACAGGCAAGTTTACCGTGTCACGGAAAACTAGTAGCAACTGAACTGCATATTTAATGAAACAACAGGTCATTTTCAACGTAAATTACAAGGGGCAATTATTTCATAAGGGTACACAGTGTTCATGAAACACAAGCTATGCAAAAAAAGACAATTTAAACTTGTGGGTCAAATGCTATCACAAATTCAACCTGTCTGCAAACTTTTAAAACCCTTGTCTATATGTTATTCTGGAATATAAGGAGCAGTTACCTCTTTGCTGTTCCTATCAGCTCCCAGCAAACAGGGAGTGCCTGGAGATGGACAAGCTCCTCAAAGTGCTAAGTTTGATTCTGCAAAGCTGCCAGATTTCTTCCCTTTTGGTAGAGCTCAGGGTGCTTAGGCAGAGTGTTTAGAGAGAGTGGAGTTTTCCACGGCATTGCTTACTGCAGGTAATTTCAGTCGTCTGGAACTCAGTGTCCCAACTAAACACGGCTGGGGCACCATCCCTGAGGTGCCCAGCGGCCACCCTGGAGCCAGCAGCATTTTCATCCGGATTTGCTCTTACCTGCCATTGCTGGGGAGCTTCAGTCTTGATAATCGGGTACTGCCTGAGAACTGAAGTGAGAGATTTGCTGGTGAGAAACATCAGGATCAGGTGCGAGAGGAATCGCTGGGTTTCTCCCGCCGCTCCCGGTCCCGTGCCGCCCTCTGGAAAGCGGCTCCAGAACGGCCCCAGCGCCCGCCCGGCTGCCCTTACCTGCTCCTCGGGGCTCGGAGCACACCTGCTGCAGGGCTGGGAGCGGCCCTTCATAAAATCACTGAAGATCCGGAGCTGGAAGGCACCCACAAGGATCACCGAGTCCAACTCTTCCCGGCGGCCCGGCCCTAGGGCAGCGCCAGCGCGGGGCGGGATCGGGATCGGCGCCGCCCGCAGCCCCGGCTTCTTTTCCCTCTGCATTTGGTTTCATTTGACACCCCAGAGTTGTAGTTCTTGTACTGTGCGTGGCAGTGAAGGGTCAGTCCGTGCTCTTCTCCCCTGTCCGCTGGTGATTTTGTGGACTTGCAGCGTGTGCCGGCTGAACCACCCCTTTCCTGGACTGTTCTTCGGGAGCGATCTGTTTTCGGAAACCGCTCTGTACTTTCAGTCCTTCCCAGTGCTCTTCTCTGCCCCCGTATCATCTCTTGAAGCGAGGGAACCAGCTCTGTGCATGGTTTTCACACTGTGGACCTGCCTTGCATATACCCAATGGTCTGATGATTTTCTGCTCTGTGGTGCATATAATTCCTGACGTAAAATTTGTACTTTTTCAACTGCTATGGAGCATTGAGCTGGTGAGTGTGTGAAATTATCTGTCATAATTAGAAGATTTACTCCTGTGTGGTGATAGACAGCTCAAAGCCCTTTATTTTAAAAGTGAGGCCAATCTAGTTGTTTTGTCTTCCATAAGCACCTCTTAAGGTTCACAGGGAGTAAAAATAACTTTCACTTGTCTAACCTCCTGAGCAGCATTCAGAGCACTGTGCTGGTCTTAGTTCTCATAGAGGTTAGAAACAACCCTTATGCTCTAAGAATGACTTACCTGTTGGAGGAATTTGGCACAGGTTTGTAGCTTAAATACTATTCTTCAGATATATTGTAGGTACACTTCCCTACTGCTATCTAGAATACTTTTACTCTTTATTTGTAGGCCCAAACTCTCTAAAGATTAATAACTTTTATTCCCTGAAAATCTAATCAAGAAACTGGATAAAAATTGATTTTCTATTGATTTTCTTGGGGCAGGCATTGGGTGCATAACAAAGGAGGTTGGAAATACTTTTTTTTTTGAGAGCTGCAGCAGTTGCTTATTGGTCTACTTATTTAGAAAGTTTATGAGTTGGACTTAATTCTGTCTTCAGATTGAGGGGAACCAAACACCCATTCTTAAAGAATGACCCCACATCAAACTGCAAGTTGTTTATTCTGGAGTGGGTACATCATCAGTTCTTGTTGAAGCTGTTTCACTGCAGAAAAATACTTTATGTTTTGGTGAAGGAAAAGAGAAAAAGTGGTTATCATTTTATTACTTAGGCACTGGGATGACCTTGGAACAGGAAAGCTTCAGTCTTTATGTCAGGAATTGCTGAAACATTTAACATGCAACAGCAGATGAGTGCTGTAGTGATGCATTGCAGAAGGTGAGGGTCATCCAGGTTCTTGTTCATAAATCCCTTGGGGAGAATTAGAGGGGAAGAACACTGAGTGATTGCTAAAGAAATTCTTCCTAATGTCAAGTCTGAACCCATCCTGGTGCAGCTTTGAACCATTCCCACTGTCGTTGGATCCGGGTGGGGAGAGCTCAGCACTTCCATTTAAACCACTCTGAAAACAGCCTGGTTTGATGTTTCAAGGCAGCAAAGACTTGAGTCATAAACACAAATTTCTTCAGCAATTGAACTAGATGAAAGTTTTCCCTTTCCACTTTATCAGATGACACAGCACACAATGTTGTGATGCACAATAGCTGTTGTATAAATTCATGTGGAAATGCTAATACTGTATTTGTGTGTGTACGTGTGCATTTTCTTCTATACAAATTGCATACTGTGGGTTAGAGGGCAAGGGATGGCATCTTAGAAAATAAATTAATTAGGATAAATGAAATATATTAGGATATAACTGCGCAGGAACTGTTCCAACGCCTTTTCCTAGGATTGATACGAAGTTTACAGTACATCAATGCTTTAAGACACGGTGTATCTAAAGGATATTTGTTGTGCCCTCTACCGCCCAGTGCGAGGATTTACCCTTGCAGCAGAAGTGAAGCCTCCGCCACGGACGAGCATTTAATCCCTAATGCAAATTCCGCCCCAGACAAAATGTTTTAAAAACCTTTGCTGCCAGTGATAATAAACAGCAAGGAAATCGATGCTAACAAACCATTAGTGTGAGAGAAATCCTGTTTCAGATTCGTTTTCCGTGACTTTTGCAGAGAACACAGCCACTGGGAGAACAGTTCTAAGTGGTCAGTACTGTGGTTCTGCACTGAAAAGGAAGAAAAAAGGAGAAACTGAGAAATAATATCCAACAGAAAATAGGTCTTGCCCCCCATACACGTCACAATAACAGTGTAGCTATTCCTAGGCTTGTTTTGTCATGTAATAAAGATGACAGTCACCCTTGTATTGATCTTTCTCCTTAGAGCAGAAAGGTTGATGGGCTTGTGCAACAGGGAGGAAGGAAGGATGGACAGATGGACAGACTGTGGGACTAACAGCCTCTCACTGTGACCTGTTTTCTTCTCAGCCTGTCTGTATGGTGATGAGTAACAGAAATTGAAAATGGTAATCTCTGGGGTTAAATCTGTAATACACTCTCTAAATCAAAAGCAAACCAGGAACAGGGATAATGTCCCAGAAAACATCTCTTATTAGTTGTTTAGCTTATTTTTAAACTTTGTGATGTTAAATATTTAACACTATGAAATGATATAAATTAAATATCTATCTAAGGCTTTTACCTATTTGAAACTGAATTGCAGCTGAATTGCAGATCTTTGCCAGGGTGTAAGAGGACTAGTTCAGTCAAATACAAATTTGTTGCTTTCAAATTTTTAAACCCTTCTGTAATTTTTAATTGAGGAGTCTGGCCTGAGACGCTCTTTTGAAGAGAGGCAGAAGTTTCAAATCTGACTATGAATTCAGTCTTTGTCTGTAAAGCACAGCATATCTAGGATTTGTCTTTGCATCTGAATAATAAGAATCTTTGCGTTATGTGACCGTCTTTCTTTGCCCCATTTGTGATAACAAAAGGCAATAGGAAGTGTCTGCACTCTCCCTCAACTACTTCTGGAATATTCAATGTAAATATAGAGTGAAATTAATATTGACTGGTACTTAAAGAGGCAATAAATAAGCAGTTTAATTTCAGGGCAAGGTACTTTATAGAGTATTTGAACTGAGAATGACAATGCACTAGCTATGATATTAAAGAACTTTAATACATTTGAGCATTGTTTTTTGAGAAGGTATTTTAAAATCTGCTGATATTCTACAAATCTACCTATCTGACTTTGAACAAGTTTGAAACACAGTTTTAAAGATTGTGGGCTTTTTCAGGAGAGAGGTGAAGAAGGGACTCGGCAGATTTTCTATGCCCATAATTCTTCCCTTATATGAAACAAAAACTTGGGAGACTTGTTTCAATAGTCATTGCACTTCAAAATTGCTTTCTATGCCCAATGTAAGGTTTGCATTTGTCTGTTGTGGAGAAAAGACCATGCATCATGTTGGCATTCTGTTTTCATATTCAAGCTGATGCTTCTTTGGACTTGAAAGGTGGTGCTGGAAAGAAGCCCAGCTGCTGCCTGAAGTCTGTTATGGTGAGGGATAACAATCCTATGCAGCTGATCAGCTGTAGAGAGGCAGCAGAACGTACAGAAGGTGCTGCCTCTGGTGAGTCCCATGACATGTGTGGCATTATGTATTTCAGAAGCAACTAATTTTTGATATTATTTCCAAAGGAATTTTTACAGGTTCCTCTCACATGCCAGAGTACTAGTCTGAAACATAGGCTGACAGGTGACTTGCAACGGCCATGGGGAGAAAAGCCAGGGAAAGGAAGAGGGAGCACCCGCTTGCTGAGTGTGCCATGACCTCATCCTGGCAGTTTATGGGACAGACCCATGACAGTAAATTGATGATTACTTTCCAGTTGCTGTTGAGCCTTTCATTGACTTGGAATCAAGCTATGATATGGGATCAAGTCCTGTGCAGGAGCACGCGATCCCATGAGCTGAGCACTAGCCATCCTGGTAAAAGAGTCATCAAAGGAAAATTGTTCGAACACACAGTGCCCTGCCCAGGGCAGGATTAACAACCTGACACTGGAAATAGTGATCATCTCAGTGACAACTGGCTTCAAAACAAATCCAGCTATTTAGCCAGAGCTCAAAAGAATAATGTTATGCAGATTATAATTCTGGGGGGAGGCCCCTGTGGATTTCCACCAAAACCAGACTGTCTAAGGCTTCAGTAGGCGCAAAGCCGCATCTCACTTTCTTTAGTGCCCTGACACCAGCTAACTGAGCCTGTTGTGAGCGACAGAATAACCAGGACGGCGCTTGCCCTGCCGGAGCCCGGCTGGGGGTGCTGGAGAGCCGAGAACGGCACCATGAGATGCTTTGAGCTCCTTGAGCTGCGCGGAGCAGCAGATCCGCCCCCGTACCAGGGTGTTTTCTCCCTTGTCCGAGTAGTTGCAAAACAATTAGCGAATTCAAAATCTTTCTTGTGTGTGCCAGGGGTGGCTCTGCTGAGCAGATATTTTGTTGCTTCCACCATCCTTTCTTGGTCAATTTTATATGGCAGATAAAGAATCTAGATACCTTGGTTTCACCTGAACATTTAACAGTTTATTCATAGAACAGATGTTGTCATCTGTCATAGTACTTGATACAAACGAGGGTAATAATTAATGTTTGATGGATAGGCAAACTGATGCTTAGAGATGAAGACAGACTTGACAAAAAGATACAACCCCCTCCAATCTGCCTATGGACAAAACTTCAGCCAATTAAACTGTGTGCTGTCCAATCTGT